TTTTATTAATATTAAAACACATTACTACAAATTAGCCACCCTTTGATTTTTTTTTCGTTTACATATATTTTTATCAAACGAAAAATGCAATGAATTGTTTATTTTGGTTTTTATTTTATTAGAAATAATATAATTTATAGGCTACACAACTTCTCCATAACATTGGCTCTATTGCGTTTTGACAGATATCCTAGAAAGACTTTTTGGCACAAAGACATTTATCCTTGTTAATTTCAGTGCTGTATTTTGACAGATTTTGCAAAGGCTTCAGCTATTCTACCTATTCTACAGTTTTGCGACTTGGCTCGTTAGGCATCTGTGTCTGGATGACAGCGAGAGAGAGATGAGATCAGACCTCAGATTCGATGTGTGGCCGCACGTCAGTTACTTTATTGCAATTTTTAATATAGGCTTATCTAAATTAACTTTTCATTTATTAAAAGCCGAAATATTGCCAGACAGACGAAGCAATTTTCGTTTTTTGATGAAAGCGTCCTAATTGATAAAGGACGCGCGCACACACAGCCTACACTCTTGTTGGCCTATTCATTGTTGATTTTTTTTTTTTAAATTAAACGCATAATAATCAAGTACAAAAAAACAGCTGAACTTCGGAAAAAGTGCTCAAGACTGTTGCCGCGATGGTTGCTTTGTTTCTCTGCAGTTGGCTTATTAATGGCGCAGCATTGCTAAATCACTTTTGTTTAATAAAAAAAAGATAATTTATTATTGAACATTGTGAGATGATGGTCGCGTGATTTTTAAAATGAGAGTATTGCGTATTTATGGCTATTGATCTTACCTACCCGCGACCCACCCATAGTTGAACATCAAGTTGTTTCCTTGCTGCCACCTTTGTCAGGCAAAGTTTGCAGATTGCCTCATTAACGTCTTCAGGTTCTCTTTTTGCATTTGGTTTGACCCCCAAAGTATTGCCAAACAGGTGCTTTTGCATTGCTTTTGACACTTAATCGTCCGCCATTCTTCTTCTGTAAATTCGGCTCCTCTCGTTCTCTTCATGTGGTTAATGAAATATGACGCATTGTAGCTATGTTCAGATGATAATTATAGTGCATGCTCTCGTCTTAAGTAAATTATTTAGAATTATGTTTCACATTAATTAAAATAAATATTTAATTCAAATAAACGAATACTTAAAAAAAAAAAAAATGTGGGGATGGTGTCACGGTGAAAAAGTGATGTCACCGGTGTTGTGTCTTAAAACCAGTATCACCATCAACACCATCTATCGTGGCAAGCCTAATTGATACAATGAAGTCTGTACAGTGATATTTTACATTACTTTATCTGAATGCTGTTAGACTCTCCGGAAAACCATAAAGCACTGTTTATTTTACATTTATTTTTATAAATGTAAAATATTGTTATTGTTCTTGCAATTTGTTTGTAATGTTTTTATAAATGATTCATACTCTTACAAAATCAATCCAACCTATCAAATTAAGGATTCTTTTCACAAATAGAGGTATTCAGGGCATCTGGTGAAATTGTATTCATATCTCTATATACATATAGATGTCGCAGAAAAACAACCTATCACAATGTCAGATTTTTCCAATATTGTGCAGCCCTGGTATAAGCTGTATAGCTGTATAAACTGTAAATAGAACTAAAACATAATTTTATCCGCTCATAATTTATGAAACTAAAGAAAAGAAAAACAAAAACTTGTTCCTTGTTCCTTGAGCTCCTTGTTCTAAATAGACTCTAAACAGCAAAGACACTGATCCCCAGAAACACAAATCAGACATTTTCACTCTCCATGTCAGTTTCAGTGGTTTTATGAATTGATTTCAGGTTTATTCACTTTTTTATGTATATTTGTTTGCTTCTAAAGCTCTGATTGGCTAAATTTAATCAAGTGAGGCTTGATTCCAGCTTGATGCAAGCATTACTGGAAAATAAGGTTTGGAGGTTGTAGTACAAGTATTTCTGGATTGGACCCTTTTGAGTTGTGCAAAGCTATAGGGCAAGGATGTCAAACACAGTTTCTGGAGGGTCACAGCCCTGCAGAGTTTAGTTCCAACCTCGATTCAATACACATGCTGTGGTCAGACTGGAGTTTGAGGATGCAAATCTCTGTCATATAGTGCTGCAAAAAAGGGGTGGGATTAAACAAGATGATTAGACATTAAAAAAGCGAGTAATTGGTCGATATTTTAAATTACGTGTTCATGCAGTCATGTTTTGATCTTCAATTGGTTCAGGCAGCCGTGTGATGCGATTTTGCAGGTAGAGTTTACGAAGCTTAAAAATAAGTATATACAGTATTCAGTGAACTGCAAAACTTATTGCACGAGCTTGCATTTCTGGGTTGCCGCATTGGTATGTGTATGAATAGAAGCATATTGGGTGAAAAGTGCAATGTGATTCCAGCTTTAATATTTTGTAAGTTTGCTCGAGCGCTATACCAGCATGCAGCGAGAGAGAGAGAGAGAGAGAGAGAGAGAGAGAGAGAGAGAGTGTGAGTGTGAGTGTGAGTGTGAGTGTGAGTGTGAGTGTGAGTGTGAGTGTGAGTTTGAGTGTGAGTGTGAGTGTGTGTGTGTGTTAATTTGTGTTTGTACGAGGATCAAGTTAATGCAAGGATTGAGTGCATTTGTGTAAACATACATGTTTTGAACATAGTATAGGTTTATATGCGAGTAATTTATAGGTCTATATGCATGTGTTGATAAGTGAAGTTTGATTTAAATCCTACACGGCAGATCTATCCATCTTTTTGCCTCATTGCCTTTTCTTCTGACACCACTGGTTCCGGTGTCATGGAGGTGGATGGTGAGGTGACAGGTTGGCTTAAACTTTTATGATGCCTCATCTTCTGACACTCAGTATGTTCTAGCAGGTGGAACAGATTTGATGTGTTTCTGCGGCTAGTCGACACCACTCTCCCGCACATTTTGCAGAGCACCTAATCTATAAGTTTATCGGAACTTAAAAAGCTGAACCACATTCACACCACTGCATTAGTCTTTCCTCTTTCATCAACTAATCCATGTGCATTCTTACTCATGGAAGCTTGTTTATTCACATCTGTATTCAGAACACTCATTTTGTAAAACTTTCTGCGACGGTCACAAAGCTTAACCAACTGCAGAGTGCTGGCAGCATGTCTGTTATCTTATGTATGTCATCATGCAGGTGACATCACTCTCTTTCTGGTGGCTGAGCACTGAAAGTCATTCAGTGACAAATGATAAAATGTTTAAGATCTTATAAATATAATAATACATATATATGCAAGTTTATATCAAAATACCGTAAATGGGTAAATCGCGATAAATATTGATATCAAATTATTGTCCAGCCCTACTTTAACTGCAGTTTGACACTTTCCCTTTTATTCAGGAAAATTTCATGTAAGCCTCCCATGACAAACTGAGGTATTGGATGTGCGGAACTGCTACAAGAGTGTTGTTTTAATGGAATTTGACACCGCACGCCTAATGGAAGAAAAAAAAAAACACTCCATTTTCTCGTTAACTTAGATCTGTAGATTGTGTATAGACCATCCTATCACTAAATGTGGTGAAAATCCTACACGACGATAATGGTTTGATTATGGCGTTTACATGTTTACATTGGGAGAGCAGCATTTACAGTGGATCTTCCAGTCCATAATATTGTAGTGTTGTTACTGTAAACATAGTAACTAAATCATTTTGACTAAGGTCTGTCTTTAAAAACTGAAAGAGTACTGTTGAAGATACTAACTAACTTTGCCATCTGAATAAACATAAACAAAGAACACTGATCACTCATTTACCAAATTTGTAGAGACAGGACAATCAACAGGACAATTTTTACTTATTTTTTTTATAAAGAAGATGAGTGGCAAATCCATATTTTACCATTTTCAGATGAGAAAAGCTCTCGAGTAAAAAATGTTCAGACATATTGTTGTCGCGTGTAAGCAGACCACTGTAATCCACACGTGGTCCAGCTGCTTTTTGTCCAGCTCAACCTTTGTTGCAGCACATTTATAAATGCAACACTGATGACCCATGTCTTTAAACAATTATTCTTCTTCCACTTGTTTTTATTATGGTCTCTCTAACGTCTGAACATTGTAACAGGTAAAAACTGTCTTCGAAGCTAAATCATGCATATTAATGTTAAGTTGCACCTCATTCACAATAGAGCATGCTGATTTGTTCAAACCAAGTCTTTCTCATGAATTAATGATAAAAGCTCAAAAACGACACATTGTACTGGCCGGTACAGACATCCAGTCTCCAAGCTAGAATTCACACAAGGATCTCATGGCTGTGACGCAGCTTAAAAATCTCTTTTTTACCGGAAGATCAAATTTGCTTGAAATAAACCAAAGACAACCACTTTTCACTTTTTTAGTGAAATATATATGTCCTAATAGTGTTTTTGGCAATGTTGGACAAATACATGTCTATCAACATCTCAAAAAATGTTTTGGTGTTTCGTGACCCAAGTTCTAGTTTCTATTGCTGCTTTGTGAAATGCTTTTTCAAATTTCCTGAAAACCACCATATTCAAATGTAAAAACTTTGTAATATGTCTGAGTTTTTGTAAATGTGATGCATTTTCATTTGGGGTTTTGTGCATTTTCAATTTCCAAATCTGAAGTGGAACGGACGCATGACTATTAGTTAAAGGGGTACTGTAGTTCACTCAATAATGGAATTCTGCCATCATTTAATCACCTTTTGACTTGTTTTTAAAACAGTTTGAGTTGGAAATATGTTACGATTGACATCCATAGTTGGAAAAACAAATACCATACTGTAAGTCAATGGTTACAGCTTTCTAATATTCTTTTAAAAATATCTTCTTTTGTGTCAACAGAATGAAGCAACTCAAACTGGTTCTGAACAAGTGAAGAGTGAATGGTGGGGGAATTTTCACTTTTGGCTTAACTATCCCTTTAAATCTACAACTGAATTTAAGTAGTTTTTTTTTTTTTTTGCTGCATAAATCATTCATACAGCCAATTTTATTCCCCACAGGGTGTTTTCCTCCTTTAAAACTTACCTATCCAATGCCATACGCAAAACTTTATTACCACTAAAAAAGACCCCTTTGTCTCATCTTCTATGGAGCCCAACCAGGAGATCACTATGTGGCTAACTGAACTGCATTTGCCCCAGTATGCCACCAGCTTTACCCTGGCCGGCTACCATTTCCTAAAAGACCTCAGGAACCTAAATGAGGAGAAGCTTCTGGAGATGGACAATATCCCCACAGGACATCGGCGGAGGATACTAAGCAGCCTGGAGACTCTAATGATGGAGGTTGAGGGAAGTTCTGTCAAAGTACCTGTAAAGAGAAAGCCAATCCCAAGGCCTAGGCAAGTGCTTTCCAAGGATAAGCAGAAAGAAGCATCAACTTATCAGCATGCGCAGGCCGGAAACGTCCAGATGACAAGGCAGACTCTTCCTGCAAGGACTACTGCTTATTCAGGGACGATGAATGTTGGTTCTCAAACACTTCCCAGGATCAAATGTCACGCTGCTTCCTCAGGTTCAAGCTCCACCTCTGATAATGGCAGCAGCGAATCACTGGAGAACTTTACAGAAGATCATGTTACAAATAAAAGTGGTGGTTTACCTGCAGATGGAGCTGCTTTAGGGTTTCAGGGAGAAATGGTTGAAAATGAAATCTACGAGGAGTGCCTGTTTGCTACTGTCCCCTCCGAGCCGAGGTCCACCCGCTCCTTTAAACTACGACACAGGCCTGTACCAGAGATCCCTGAACATCCCTTCATACCTTCTTATGACCGGTGAGTAAATATGCAAATATGTAAATATGTTTTTATTAGCTAGTGATTAGTGATGGATTATTTATATGATGTTATGTTACAAAATGAAGTTATTTGGAAACAAGTGATCAATTCCTCCAACATTGATGCCAGTTTAGCTATTGTGCTTTTTGGAAGTTGTGTGCATGAAACAGTCAGTCAGTGCCTACGTATAGTATGTGTATGCTGTGTTATGGTCTAAAACAATTCCAGCTTCATTCTGTTTCCAGTTTAGAGAAATTTGGTGGATCGGCATTAATTAAAATAGTTGGATCCTTGAAAGTGGAAAAAATCGGACAAGATTTTTTGCTTTTTATAGAGATATGACTATAATTTTTCCAGATAACTTGAACAGCTTGGAAACAATTTATTCATTTAGATCAGGGCTTCTCCCTCTCGGTCCTGGAGGTCTGGTTTCCTGCAGATTTGAACTCCAAACAGACACACCTGGGCTAGCTAATCAAACTCTTAAGCCATGGTCACACTGGACTTTTCTCCCCATAGACTTCCATTCATACGCAAGTGAATGCGTCAGATCAGAAAGACAAGCTTGTGCGACAAGTTTTACAGTTTGCTGCATCGCAAAGTTCAAGCTTGGTGAACTCGGACATGAGAAATCGTATCACTTGACCATGTGAGACTAATTGAGGATCAAAACATGACCTTTCTGGACAGAAATTCAAAACATTGACCAATCGCTTGCTTTTTTAAATGACTAATCATCTTGTTTAATACCGCCACGTCACACTAGAGTTTGTGTGTATGAAATTCTGTAGTAGGGTACTGCAAAAAGGGGTGGGATTAAACAAGAAAATTTTAAAAGAAATTTAAAAAGGCGAGCGATTGGTCCATGTTTTAAATTTATGTCTTGGTAGGTCATGTTTTGATCCTCGATTTGTTTCACACAGTCAAGTGAAATGTTTTCGCAGGTCAGAGTTCACCAAGCTTGAACTTTCCAACGCAGCAAACTGCGAAACTTGCTGCACGACCTTGAGTTTCTGGTCTGACGCATTTGTGCGTGTATGAATGGAACTCTATGGGGAGAAAAGAAACAGCAGGTGTGGAGCAAGTTGGAGCTACAATCTGCAGGACACCAGATCTCTAGGACCGAGTTTTAGAACCCCTGATTTAGATCAATTAGAAGGCTTTTTTTAGTTGAGTGAATCATGCATAAAATATAATAAACTAATTAGAATCATAGATAAATGCAATGAAGCATTGAAAAAAATTGAGTCCGGAGAGTCAAAACGTGTTTATGTAGATCAGGGATTCTTAATCTCGGTGCTGGAGATCTGGTGTCATGCAGATTTAAGCTCCAACCCCAATCAGACACACTCGGGCTAGCTAAACAAGCACTTACTAGGCTTTCTAGAAAGATCCTTGTAGGTGTGTTGAGGCTAGTTGGAGCTAAAATCTGCAGAACACCGAACCTCTAGGACAGAGTTTGAGAACCCCTGATTTAGATCAGTAAGAAGGTTTTTTTTAGGTGAGTGAATCATGCATAAAACATAATGAACTAATTACAATCATAGATAAATGCAATTAAGCAATGATAAAAGTAGAGTCCGAGAAGTCAAAACGTGTGTAGGTAGAGAAATTGAATAATTAATTCTAAAATAACCCAAATAATTAAATATTACAAATTCAAATTAATCTGTGTTAAAGTTACAAAAGGTACACTTACTTGTGTCTGAATGAGTATAAACTCCCTTGATTTGCACATATATAGGGCCCTGTCATACACTCGGCGCAATGCGGCGCAAGGCACGACGCAATAGTTGTTTGCTAGTTTCAGCTTGGCACAAGAGTCGTTTTGACGTTTGCAGCACGCTGCTTAAATAGCTAATGCATTTGCGCTCATGTGCGCCCACAGGCGTTCTGGTCTAAAAAAGAAGGCTTATTGAAGCGCATTGCTGGCGCGTTGCTATTTTGAGGAACTTAAATAGAAGGTTCAAATAGATCATATCAAAGCTGGTCTTATGTCCAGCGCAGAGCGCGTTAGTTGTGCGCCGTGCTTACACATTGCTTAATACAGACAGGGTGTACAGCAATACGCAAATATATTTCCAAATGACAAATAATTAAAATATTTAGGATATATATAGGATATAATAAGGATATATAGCCTATAGGATTTAAATATAAAGGATTAAAATATTACAAAACATATTATTTTCTAGTCTACATAAATATAAAACCAAACTTTCATGCCTTCTTTATCTCAGGGGGCTTTTTCAATTTATTCATAACAATTTGCTTTTGTATAGTGTTAATTTTATTAGCAGTGTAATTTATTATATGCCAATGTATATTTGTTTTATTAAAAACAAGCTTAGATTTGCCCACCTGCCAGGTTTTAGACCATATGGGGCACAGCATGTGTATTTGAATATAACTCAGTTGTTTGAGCACACTTCATTATTATTGTTAATTTATTCATTTGCTGGAAATTGGAACTGAATTTAGAAATAGTTTTAAAACAAATATTTCCGCTTAACAAACAAAATTAATTATTTATAGGCTAATTGATGTCTTTGCGTACAAGGTTTCCCTATTCACGAGATGGGAAGTGAAAGTAGATAATGAGAAGGCCTTATCTCTCATTCTCGCGCTGCAGATGATCTGTTTAACTGTTTTCTTGCTAGTGAAATGCTCAGTTTTTCCACTTACAAAGTCGCCATGTAAATAAAATTGTGCTATGGCGCAACGCAACTGACTCTTAAAGGGAATGGGAGATGAGACACTGATTGGTTTATTCTTAAAACACACCTATAACTCATTAAGAAAATAAGCTCAACCCTATGCGCCGCAGAGCAAAGCGGATTTTTTCTTCCCTTAATTAGCAGAAGTGTTCCGACACACCCTAATTGCTTTTGCTCTCTGCACTTTGCACTTTGCGCATAGATCGTCAAAATAGAGCCCACAGTGTCAAAACCATGTGTTTTTCAGATACAGAATTACATTAGAAATTATATGGTATAATATTTATGAAAATATTTGTTTTTCAAATATATGTAACATATTTTCCATAAAAGTCTAATAATTTAATTTAATATTAGTTATTATCAGGCGACGCAGTGGCGCAGTAGGTAGTGCTGTTGCCTCACAGCAAGAAGGTCACTGGTTCGAGCCCTGGCAGGCTACCTCCATCATTAGAGTTTCTGTGTGGAGTTTGCATATTCTCCCTGTGTTCGCGTGGGTTTCCTCCGGGTGCTCCGGTTTACCCCATTGTCCAAAGACATGTGGTACAGGTGAATTTGGTTGGCTAAATTGTCCATAGTGTATGAGTGTGATTAAGTGTGCGGTTGTTTCCCAGAGACAGGTTGCGAGTGGAAGGGCATCTGCTGCGTAAAAAAAAAACATGCTGGATAAGTTGGTAGTTCATTCCACTGTGGCGACCCTGGATTAATAAAGGGACTAAGCCGACAAGAAAATGAATGAATGAATGAATGAGTTATTATTCCTGGTGGGGTAACTCATCTTGGACCCTAGGCCTGCATGCAATGAATAAATTGCATTATAAACATCAATCAAACAGTAAATTACAATCAATACAAACAAAGAGAGGAAGAAAAAAGAAGTCATTGTATCTGTACACAGGCAGACTGTATTCTATAAAATTAACAAAATCGTTGATCTTTATTAAAAAAAATAATAATAATAAAAGTTTTACAGCCCGCTGTTGTTAAAAAAGCCAGATTTTAAAAAGTGGCATCAGGTCAAATTTACATTTTTATCCCATTATTTTTTGGCTGCTTATTTTTTATCTTTGAACTTTTTTTGTGGACACTGAGATAGCGATAATTAGTTTTATTCACAATGAACAAAGAAGGCGTTTTATGGATGGCAAACAGGTTTTAGAGGGACTAAATGGCATGAGTGATGGGTTTGGAACACGTTCAGCTGTCACTTAATCAGGTCTCCCATAAACATTATTGCTTAAGGAAACAAATTTGGCAAAACTCATGACTACTAAGTGACAGTGGCCAACATACCCTCACACTGTGAATTATAGGCACACTGTCGACAATCTTCTAGCACTTCCTTTATTTTTCACTTCCAATCAGACAATTTATGCTATTAATTAAAATAGAATTATAAAAAAATAAAAAGCAATGAAAAAAACATCTTAATGGCATAGTTCATTAAAAAATTAAACTTCTGCAATTGTTTACTCAGCCTTTACTTGTTCTAAATCAATTTGAGAAAAAAAGACATAAATGGAAGAATGTAGGAAACTTGTAACTATTGCCTTCCATAGTAGGAAAAACAAATACTATGTAAGTCAGTGGTTACAGGTTTCCAACATTCTTTGGTATGTCTCATTTGTGTTCAACACAACAGACGTCTCGAACTGTTTTTGAAGAAGTAATGGGTTAAAAATGACACATTTTTGACACATTTGAGAACATTTGACAGTTATTTAGTAGTATAAACTGTGGGCTATTTAAAAAAGCATTAATGAACATTTAAGGTGCCGTATGTAGTTTTTTTTACTTTTCTAAAGCATAAAAATACCATATGTTTGCATATATATAAAAAAAAAAAAACATGCCAAGTGAACATTCTTTGTTTAATCTGAAAAAAAAAAAAAAAAAAAAAAATTAGGTCAGAAATTCAGAAAAATGTGCAATACGTGCCGGAATATCTGTCTTTGTTTTGGCCATTTAATCCGCTCAATGCCAGTTCAGCCAATTATATTTCAACACCCCAGGTTGCCTTGGTGGAAAACAGAATATTTCATTTATTCAGTCAGGAAGGCTCTTGAATTGTGCATCTGCAACCGAAATGTGACCTCCGGTGGAAAGTAGCAGACTCCACAATGAGACGCAGATTCAGAGTTTCATCTGAGGTGGTTATTAATTAGCAAATAATATAAATATAATGAGTATAAACATTAGGTGAGTAGGTTAGACTGGAATCTCATGTCCTTACAACACACTATCGCTGCGTCCGAAACGCATAGTTCCATATTGTACAGTATGCTAAAATCAGAATGCGAGCAGAGTAGTATGTCCAAAAATCTGTATGAGAGAAGTACCTGGATGACTTACTACTTCCGGCGAGATTCTGAAGTGCGCATCCCTTGCATGCTGCACTATCCCATGATGCCCTGCGAGAGAATTCATGAATGGGAGTGAAGCGACACAACTGACGCAGGTTGGCGGATGTCAAAATGGCGGATATAGCAAAACTGACAAAATGGCGGATGTAGCACATCTGAATTCCATTTATACTGCTTACATACATACTGTATAGAACATACTTTTCAGCCAAATAATATTTTAAAATTCAAATGCAGTACCTACTGAGCAGTAGGCAGTTTCGGACGCAGCCTTTGTGACGAGATTTGCAGTGACACGTAATTTGGCTGTTTTGTGATGCTTTGCGCCGGATAACCAGTGAAAAAAAAGAGCTTTGAGACAATTTCTAGATCATTTCAGACTCAAACATTTATAGTCAGCCTCCTTCAGCGTCACTAGAATTACAGTTAGAATTAGAATTAAGCTGTGTTGTCAATCTGGCAACTTGCGCTTGCGTGTATTTTGAAACAGGTGTTCAATACGTAGTTCAACCACTGATTGTCAAACTTACATGCACCTTTAATAACAAAAATAAAAATTGTTTTATGTTTGTTAATGTTGATATGATGTAATTAATTTAATTGATAAATAATAAATTAAATGAAAATGAAAATAATACAAATTTTTATTAATAAATCATTTTGTTTTATATCGGTAAATATATAATAGGGTGTCCTCTGGGTCTTAAAAAGTATTAAAAGTTGATAAATCAATGTAGACAAATTGAAGGCCCTTAAAAAGTATTAAAAATCTTAAAGGCTATTTTGCAAGGTATTCAATTTAATATAATTTTTGATTATGCAATGCATGGTTGTATGTTAAAGTTTGCCTAAATTAATTCTGCGAATATCAGGATACTGTGTAGTTTGTAAAATTAATAATATCTTACTAGATTTGACATCATGTTGCTTTGTTTACTGCAGTAACCAAGGCAACACCATTATTTCTGCAGTTCTATAGGTGCCAACCTGCTGAATTAGCTAGATTTAATAGATTTTTATTCAGTATATGAACAATGTTTTAGCTTTGAACTAGTTTCTTACATTAATATTTAGTAAATCAACTGTAGGTTAAAATCTCACTAGTGTTTCTGGTTGAAAAGTGGTTATAAGATCTTAAAATGTATGGAAAGTGTCTTAAAAAACTCTTAAAAGGTGTTGAATTTCACTCTCTGATTCATGTATACACACCAGTATAAATTGGTTTTGGTAGAAAAAGAATGTCATACAGAAATTATGCAACAAGAGTAAAAATATATTAATTTTCTTGTTGTTTTCAGGGTAAATAAGACTGCTGGATGATGCTGGTAAATTTATTATTTAAGGAGAGTTCACATTAGCAAAGTAACCATAAAACGGTAGTATTTTACCAAAGATTGTGTATTTATCACTGATCAGTGCATTGGCCTACTCTAGAGTCTTTATTAAACTCTTACACAAAAGTACTGTAAAATGCTGTGCATTTTCTGTCCATTCATTCAGATGTTCTAGTTTATTTTTAAAACCTTGTATGCAGGAATGTTGCTGGAAACAACAACACTGACCATCTCACAAGATCTGAGGGACTAATCTTACCCCCAAGCCATCAAAAAGGTATGCTATGTTTTTTAGTCTTAGTGGTTTGTACTCTGGGTACTAAACAAAGTCAGTTTTGCTGTCTTTCTATCGAATTTACTCTTATCTCCTCTTGTATGCATGTAATGTAGAGAAGCTTAGTTTGGCAAACTTACAGCAACCATGTGCGTGTGCGTACACGTCTTTAAAACTGCCTTTGGCTTTGAAATGCTCCATTGTGTTCCTGTTCTGAACGCGTTGCTGTGTTTGTAATTGCAGCAGGAAAGTGCTTTTAATGTCTTAGAGGAATAGTTTGGATATTGTTTACTAGAGTCAGAAACAGGCTCGGCTGTAAAAGTGGTTAATAATGACTACATAGATCCACAACCTAATTCTCTTCACTATCTCTAGAAGCAATAGAAAGGTAGTTTAAGTTTTAGAGGAAAAGTTTTAAGCATTCCACATAAGAAAGCACAGAGTGGGAATTGGATTGTGACAAGGAAGAACTTGATCAGAGTATACGCTTGAAAAAATCAACGTTTAATCAACTTTTTTTAATGATATTTTGATATCTTCATAAGGATTGCAGAATAGAAGGGGTAAAATCACTGATATCTTTTTTCTTTTGTTTTTTTTTTTACAAAGAGGGCTCGGTGATCTCATTTTATGATTCATGTCATCTCATATCCTGATAACAATATTGATATATTACTGTTTTTGTAAAACTGATAAATTAGTATATGTTGATAATATGTAAAGGAATATATATATATATATATATATTTTTTTTTTTTACATTTTAAAACATATACTTAGGCGGCACAGTGGGTCAGGAGTTAGCACTGTTGCCCTACAGGGAGAGAGCACTGGTTCGAGCTCCAGCTGGGCCAGTTGGACTTTCTGTGTGAAGTTTGCCCCCAAAGTCCAAAGACATGCACTGTAAATGAACTGCATAAACGAAATGAGTGTGAATGAGAGTGTATGGGAGTTTCCTAGTACTTGGTTGCAGCTGGAAGGTCATCCACTGCATAAAACACATGCTGAATAAGTTAGTGGTCCATTTTGCTGTGGCGACCCCTAAAAAATAACAGACTAAGCTGAAGTAAAATAAATTAATAAATGTATAAATGAAGTATATACTCATAAATTTACTCATATTTCTCACTTTGTTTAGAACTTTAGGACAAATTTTTTACTAAAAATAAAGAAATTAAAAATAAAAATGAATAAAATATACAACACTTTTTTAAAATAAATGATAACCACTAAAACAACCTAAAATCGCTTATAAAATGAAGATTTTAGATGAAAAAACTCATGAGTTTCATATGAAATTCGTTATAAAATGAGTATTTTTCTCAGATTTCTGTCTGTATGTTTAGTAATTTTGTGTTTATGCTACATGGTTCGTATTTATGAGTAAACTGTAAAAGATTTAATGATGACACATTTTAATAGGTTTACCAGGTTTCAACATTTTTTTTTTCTTTTTTACAAAGTGTAGCTTAATATTTTTAGTAGCTATAATTTTAGATTGATTGATGTAAGTAAACTATAAAAGTAAATTTGGTTTACAGGGTAGGTTTTTTTCATTGTATTTAAAATTAAATGATGAAACATAAACATAGAAGCTGATAAAAACGGTTATTCTAGAATAACATTTTAGATGCCACTTAGAGGTTTTTGCATCTAAACTCTACAAATGCAAAAAGTAAACATTGTTCATTTAAGATATAACAAATTTGTTAAAATGCTGTTATTCATGTTTCTGTCTGCATCCCCTTTAACAGTGTTTAATATTGTGCTCATATAAATCATGAAAATGTATAAATGTAAACAGATTATCTTATGACACCATTTACATCTATACTATATATAGTGGGGCAAATAAGTATTCAACAAGTCATCATTTTTCTCAGAAAACATTTCTAAAAGTGCTGTTGACTTGAAATCTTCACTAGATGTTGATACCAATCAAAAGCAATGCATATATGCAATGAAAACAAAACTAATTAGTTTACAAATTAAGTTATGCTTTAAAAAAGTAAATGACCACATCAACAAATAAAGGGAGGTGAAAGCCCAGACTTCAGCTGAAATCTCTCAGTAGTTATTTAGCAACCCTCTGCCCTTCATCATTGTAAATTAATATCAGCTGCTTCAGTCTACATTAGCAGGATGATGAGGTGAAACCATGGTGGACATTTTAGCAAGACAATGATCCAAAACACAACCAAGGAAACTCTTAAATGCTTTCAGAGAAAGTAAATCAAGCTATGGAATGGCCCAGCCAATCACCTAACTTGAATCTAACAGAAAATACAAAATACATCAGATTTGATCTACAAAAAAAGATTAGATTTGATAGACAAGATCCACAGAACCATTAAGATTTTTACACTGTTAAAGTCTGTGAAAAAAAACACACCTGAGTGATGAATGTGACTTCATTGTCCATTTAAGAGGAGTCTTTAAGCTGCCATCACCAAGAAAGCATTTCATAAAAAGCATTAAATATTTCAGTAGTTCAGCACTTTCACCTTGTCATTTCATTGTTACACACAATTTTTTTAAAGAATTTTGTTTTGTTTTGTTACATTTTTATGTTTGTAATGTTTGGGTTTTTACCAAAATCTGATTTAATCTCATTTCAATGGGTCATTTGTAAATATTATTTCAAGGAAAAAAAAAAAAACCTTAACCTGTTGAATACTTATTTCCCCCACTGTATATCATCATATTGTGTTGCCCTATTTACAAAATGCTTTATTCACACAATTCTACTGTAGCAGATGGATAAAACAGGGCAGAGCCTGTCTGAGAAAAGAGAGCGAGCGTATCATCTGTAGTTAGAAGGTCAACTCTTGATAATGATAAACGATGACAGTGATCTGAAATGACACCTCTGCTGCTGGGTTAAGATGTGATACAATACAGTACAGTTCTATCATAGATAACACAGCGGCGTTTAGATCAAACACCCTACTGTAGGATCTTAAATAGTGGGAGGCCTATCTATTAGCTATATATCTGTGCATGTGTGTGCGTTTGTGTGTGTGTGTGTGTGTGTGTGTGTGTCCATCCGTGGGGAACAGTCTGGGATTCATGCTGCCCCTTACTGTCTCCACAGAGATATGCTGGTCATTTGTCACCTTGACAACCAGTCACCCAAGCTGGTCCCTCTTTGGTACATTTTCCAAGCTGGCTGCTCTAAAGGACAATGTGTGGGATCTCATTTTATGCTTGTTCTTTTCTCTCTCTCTCTGCTCGTTCTTTCTTTGTCTTACTCATTCTCCTTTGCCCTCCTCCTACACTCCATCCAGCAAAACCACAACCTGCTTTGTCATAATGATTTATTCCTGTTGTGTTAATTACAGCATCACTGGAAAGGACCTTGTCCCCCATTTCCCCATATGGAGAACTTTTTCTTTTCAATTCAGCAGAAAATGTACTGGTGAGTGTAAAAAAACCTGCCTGGGTTGATTTTTTATTTTTTTATTTTTTTGGTGTGTGCAAAAATGAACAGCATTTGTTAACTACTGAAGGAAAAAATCTAAATCTCGGTAAATTGAACATTTTAACTCAATTTCGATCAATGAAAGATTATTTTATTTATTTATTATATATTTTTGCCCTCATATTTTACTGACATATGTTCACATATTAAAATATTAAAATGAAAAAAAAATTCAAATAATTGAAGGAAACACACACTATCCACTATCTATGATTATTTATTGAACATTAATGTTGAACAACTGAATTAAAACACACACTAATAGTCACTTATTTCTATATATAAGTGAAGTGCATTTATGAAGTTGTAGTCCATTAACTGGCAGATTTGTAGTCCTATGTGTGAGTGAGTGTTTACCAGCGACCTCTGGTGGTTTTATCGCTGGTGATCGTGACACTTACTGTACCAAAGTCTTTTTAAGGCAAGTCATTTTGCTCGGCAGCCATCTTTAAAACGCCTCTCGGGCAGTATGCATTTTGTCTGAATGAGGAAACATCAAATTCTCCAAAACTGTTTTCAAGCTTACAATTACATTACATATTTGGAATCACCAATAAAATTAAACAACAGCTGTTTCATAAGTTTCGTTTCTAAACGTTTGAATCAAACACAATCAGGTTCAAACTCATTTTTAGGTTGCCCGAGCTAATGCGCACTCAAATGGAACGAGATCACGACACCAACCTCATTTAGCCATTCTACACATTATCTTCCTCTGGATAATGCTTCACCTAAATGTGTTGACAACAGTCTTCAGTTTAAGCTCCCTGTTCCTGCAAAGTTGCACATGAACTGATGCTATATAATCTATATAAAAATAAGATTATTGTTGTATGCAAGATTGACTCCAGATTTCAAATGTTTGATATACATCATTGGGGGAAACCTAGGACCACTTGCTGAGGTTTTGGGCTAAATGAAATAGTTAAAAACATATAAATAGTAAAATAGTAAAAAAAAAAAAAAATAAAAAAAAAATATATATATATATATATATATATATATATATATATATTTAGCTTTTTTGGTAAGCGATGATTTTCAAAATTCATTATATCATCAGAAACCACTGCTATTCATTTTAATTATATTTATTTTTTGATTCACAAACTGTTAGTAACCGTTGACTTATTAATAAATAAAGGCCAAGTTGTTTCAGTTAAAAATCATGTTTAAAAGGATAGTTCACTTAAAATTGACTTTTTATTTTCTCACTCTTGACTTGTTTCAAAACTTCAAATTCAAAAGATTCTTTACTCTGTTGAAAACAAAAAGAAGATATTTTGTAGAAAGCTGGAAACCTGTAACCACTGATTGCCAAAATATTTGTTTTTCCTACTACACTACCTGACAAAAGTCTTTTCGTCAGTCTCAGTTGTAAGAGCAACAAATAATAACTAGAACCTAAAGTTCATTGATAAACTTTGATGTTGGCTTGAGAAAGTCAAACGTTTATGGCATTGTTACTAAGCAGTTGCAGTTACTAAGCAACTAAGCAGTTGCTAAATGGCAATGCTCATGTACATGTTTGATCAAAAGCTAATACTTAGTAGGCATTTCTAGCATATGTTATTGCATTTAAATAATCATTCATAGCATGTAGCTAATCGTTATTAGCACTTGGCTTCCATTATCATTGTTACCATGCATAGTACACAGGAAGTCCCATTTGCTAGCACAAGTCAAACAAGCCAATGCCCAGGTCCCTACGATGTTCTGATGTAGAGATACTGCTATTTTTAAATAGTTGCTAGGTTATACTTTTTTATTGCTATGGGGACATTTGACAGGTTAGTGATGATACATCAAAGCTTCTTGGCAATATGAGTGATCTATATCAACCCCGATGTTTCTATGACAGTCTTTATGAGTGTCAAAAACTGGACTTGAACATTATGTATTCCTGGTGTTGAGTTGCGGCTGGAAGGGCATTCGCTGTGTAAAACAAATGCTGGATAAGTTGGCCGTTCATTCCGTTGTGGCGACCCCTGATTAATAAAGGGACTAAGGGAATGAACATTATGTAAAAATGACTTGCTGTATTTTTTTGAAAATACAATGCTTAATAAGTGTGAAGGTGATACATGCAAAAATGGCTTGCCATATCAGTAAAAAATATGGAGTTTAAGTCAAAAATGGCTTGCCATATTTTGAGAAAAAATAATGCTTAAAAATTATTTATTGGAAAATTATAAGTCTGATAAACCTTAAAGATATAGCAACAAAATCTACCGCATCTTAATACAGCTTTTGGCCAAATTTGGGGCTTGTATAATTTTTTTATATGCCCGGATTATAAAAATTTAATATTTAACAATTTTTATAAAAAAAAAAATTATAAGTCTTATAGGCATGAGGAGATATAGCAACAATCTTGAATGCAGAAGGCACATTTTGACCACATTTGGGCCTTGTGGCATGAACGGCCTAGGAGGAGATACGTTTGTTTTCAAGGACAGAGTAGTATAACAGTATGTTGGCTTTCTCAAGCCAAAATAACTTGACTTCTAGTTAATCGTTTGTAGTGGCAGAAGGTAGATTTTTCTAATGAATCATCTGTTGAACTGCATCCCAATCATCACAAATACTGCAAAAGACCTACTGGAACCCGCATGAGCCCAATATTCTTTGAAATCAGTCAAGTTTAGTGAAGAGAAAAATCATGATTTGGGGTTACATTCAGTATGGGAACGTGCAAAAGATCTGCAGAGTGGATAGCAACATCAACAGCCTGAGGTGTCAAGACATTTGTGCTCCCCATTACATTACAAACCACAGGAGAGGGCAAATTCTTCAGCAGGATAGCGCTCCTTCTCATACTTCAGCCTCCACATCAAAGTTCCTGAAAGCAAAGAAAGTCAAGGTGCTCCAGGTTTGGCCAGCCCAGTCACCAACCATGAACATTATTGAGCATGTCTGGGGGATTGAGATGAAGAACCTTGATAAACTCTGGGAGTCCTGCAAAAACCCTTTCTTTGCCATCCCAGTTGACTTTATTAATACAGTAAGTGATTTGAGGCATTGCAGAGATGTATGGATGATGTCCTCCAAGCTCATGGGAGTCGCAAAATATTCATTCTTTTTCCACTGCACCATGACTTTATATTCTATACTTAACATTATTTCTGTGAAGTGACAAGATCTTTGTCTAAGCAAAGTCAGCCCTTGCTGTCCTAATTAAATCATTAAAAATCAAGTCATGATCATATTTTATTTTGGTACAGTAAGTGCAATCTAGAGCACTTTGTCTTTTTGTTCCTAAAACTTGGATAGGCAACAAGACTTTTGTCAGGTAGTGTATTGAAGTCAATGGTTACAGGTTTTTATCTTTTTTTTCAAAATATTTTTGTTGTGTTCCATAGAAGAAACTCAAAAGTTTTATAACCGCTTGAGTAAGAGTAAACAATGAGTAAATTTAAAATTTTGTGTGAACTATCCCTTTAATTATACACTGAAGAGAAAACACCTTAATAGCCTGATTGTTCTAAGTTAATAGCAAATTATTATTTACCCCTTAAAATTAGAATTGGTCTACTCCAAAATATGCGAGTATATTATAAATATAAATATTGCAAAAATATTGCCACAAAGCATGTAATTCCGCTTTTATTGATAAATTACAAATGTGTAGCATTATCGTATTATTTAAAAGTTTTCTTTGTACCTTGTGAAAGCTTAGCAAACCAACAAGTTACTAAAAAAACTCATTTTTTGGTCTGCAGGTCTGAAAAAGCCTTTTGACAATAATTCATGATGATGAATGTGTTTGAACACAAAGCTTAAATTAAAAAAGGCTCATACTATAGAAGTGTCTATCATTGTTTTGTCTCATCCTGCTTTTATTTTTTATTTTTTCAGGATTTGAGCAAAGATGAAATGTCCAATCAGGTAAAAGAGACCCTGGAACAACAGAAGCTGAGGTAAACTCTGTGCTCTTTAGTTTAGATCTCAATTCCAAAAGAGTAAGAATTTATATGAAATCTTTGGATTTTTGGATTTATATTTTTCTTAGAGCACGGTTTGCAGGATTTTCATATGGGTCATTGTGACACTCAAAGGATTTCTATGGATGATGTTGTAAATTGCAAAATATGATATGGTTTCTGTAATTGCTTCACTGTGTTTGTGTAATGACCATGGCTGTAGCCAGGGTTTCAACATTAGTGAAGTCTGTGGTGAGGTTAAGAATTGTGCTATGAATACACATATATATTGGGAATTGTTAAACTACATAATATTGTATAATTACTATAAGTTCGAGTTCTATAATTACAGTTGGAATTAAGTTGGATTCAGAATCATTAGCTCCCCTTAAATATATATATATAAATTTTTAAATATTTCTCAAATTATGTTTAGCAGAGCAAGAAAATTTTAACAGTATGTCTGATAATATTTTTTTCTTCTGGAGAAAGTCTTATTTGTTTTATTTCAGCTAGAATTTAAACAGTTTATATTTTTTTAAAACCCATTTTAAGGTCACAATTATTGGCCCCTTTGAGCTATTTTTTTCCTGATAGTCTACAACAGTGGTTCCCAACCTTTTTCTTTGGGGCCCCCCCCATGAACATATACAAACACCATATAAACACACCCCCCACCATATAAACACACACGCACGCTCACGCATATGTACTGTATATATATATATATATATATATATATATATGTGTGTGTGTGTGTGTGTGTGTGTGTTTGTGTAATATTAATATATAGTAATATGTATAGAAAATATTAATTAATCAGTTTTAACTTGTCTTGGCCTTCAATAAAACCAAAATTTAGGTAGGCTTTGTCATACTGTCTAATCTTTTTCTTCGCCTCTGAAGAATCACTGCATTTACGTTTGTCTGCCATTTTTGTTTTGATTTTGCCTTTACGACACGTTGACAAGCAGATTGCGTGAGTGAGCAAAATTTAAATAATTATTTAAAGTTATTTATTTGAATTATTTTCACTATTATGTTAAAAATTTTAAGCATGTGTTTAGATTTTTTTTTTTTTGGTACTTAAAAATACATATATAATAGTAGGGCTGCTCGATTTTGGGAAAAATCATAATCACGATTATTTTGGTCATAATTGTAATCACAATTATTCAAAACCATTGCCAGTTAAAGTCAAAATTATTAGCGCTCCTGAGATTTTTTTTTTTTATATAAATATTTCCCAAATTATGTTTAACAGAGCAAGGAATTTTAACAGTATTTCCTATAATATTTTTCTTCTATTTGTTTTATTTTAGCTAGAATAAAGAAAGGTTTAATTATTTTGAAACCAATTTAAGGTCAATATATTTGCCCCCTTAAGCAATATATATTTTTGATTGTCTGCAGAATAAACTACCGTTATAATGACTTGCCTTATTACTCTAATTAAGCCTTTGAACTGCACTTTAATATGAATGCTTGTATTTTAAAAAATATCTAGTAAAATATTATGTGCTGTCATTATAGCAAAGAAATCAGTAATTAGAAATGAGATATCAAAACTATTATGTTCAGAAATAAGTTAATAAAATATTCTTTCCATGAAACAGAAATTGGGCAGGAAAAGGTTTGTTAATATTCAAGAGGGCTAATAATTCTGACTTCAACTGTATACATACAGTTATTTTCCACCCTGCAAAGGAAAGAGAAATAAATACAATAGAATAAAAATATGAAACAAACTGTGCTTTAAGCATCTTCACTGTAAGAAAAACACTTTAGCTAACAGTTACAGCAGTCCTTCAGTCAAGAGCAGCGAGGGTTTTCTCGTTATTTTTGTTTAATAATGATAAAAACAGCCAGCAGAAGGATTATGGCGCGCTGTCTCTTTAATGGTTTCTCTTTCACGTCTTTTGATCCTCAACTCGTTTGTTTATTACACAAATGAGGGTTAATGTAAATAATCACTAAACACCGCGTTTTGACACCTATTTGACCATTAAAGCGCTCACGTTAAGATGACTTTAGATGTCTGCGCTCCTCTGCTCGTCTCAGTGTGTGAATGAGAGTGAATGCTGACCGGCTGCATGCTTCTGACTGCGTGATCGTGCTGCACACACACATAAGCTCTTTCGCGCTTTTAAGAGCAACACGTTTACAACTGGAACGTGGCAAAATATGATGCAATAATCATTTCTCGATTAATGCTTTTTTATAATTGTTTGAAACCGAAATCTAAATCGGATTTTCGATTAATTGCAAAGCCCTTTATAATAGTGGAGCATTTTTATGCCTTTTTCTACCTCAATACTTATCCTCTCCCGCGCCCCCCCTGTGAACTCTGGCGCCCCCCTTAAGGGGGCGCGGACCCCAGGTTGGGAACCACTGGTCTACAAAACAAACCATCGTTATGCAATAACTTGCCTAATTACCCTAACCTGCCTAGTTAACCTAATTAACCTAGTTAAGCCTTTAAATGTCACTTTAAGCTGCATAGAAGTGTCTAGTAAAATATTATTTATCAAGTAATAAATATCTATAATAATATCTAGTAAAATATTATTTACCATCATCATGGCAAAGATAAAATAAATCAGTTATTAGAAATGAGTTATTAAAACTATTATGTTTAGAAATGTGTTGAAGAAATCTTCTCTCTGTTAAACAGAAAATGGGAAAAAAATAAACAGGGTGCTCATAAGTCTGACTTCAACTGTATATCAATTGTTTAATACTCCATACATGAATATATACAGTGTCAATTATAGTTTCATTATTAATAGCTCTGATGTAGAGAATTTCATTTAGTGCTCTTATGCTCTTAGAGATTTTAGCATGACTGTGTTAAAATTTAACAAGTTTGTTGCATATATATTTTTTGATTATCTAGCCTACTTGTTCTCTTCATTAGTGTTATATGTTGCAGTTATTGACAGCATTGATAAAGATAACAAGTCCAAAGGATAATATTTAAATTTTAGTTTTGCCTTTGCCTTCATTATGACTGAATTATTATTTATCACTTATTAATTACTGTTATTACTTTAGATATTTTGTTATGTCAATAAGATACAGATATTACTTACCCTAAACTGTAACTTACCACTTAAATGAATTAAGTCCAAAGATGCTTTCGGTAGCATTTGCCAACATGATGGCTCTCTCTCAAGGCTTGTTCACTCCCCCATGGTCTCGCAGCAATCTTTTACTACAGACACTAAACTCTCTTGCAAACTGTCCAAACCAGGGGTGTCCAAACTCAGTCCTGGAGGGCCATTTACCCGGAGAGTTTAGCTCCAACTCTAATCAAGCACACCTGAACCAGCTAATCAATCACTTACTAGATATACTAGAAATGTCCTGACAGGTGTGTTGAGGCAAGTTAGAGCTAAAATATGCAGGACACCGGCCTCTTTAGGTCTGAGTTTGGAGATGCCTGCAGACACTATTATGAGTAGTTTTAAACCTCAGATTAATCCTTTAGAGACAAAAATATACATTTTTGAACATAAAAAATATACATCAGGCCTAATAGGCTTTTCAACAGCCTGACGCAAATCATAGGTTGATTGAGGCATATACTATTCATTCACAACAACAACAGTCCAAATCACAGACAAGCTGATACATGTGAATGTGGATGCAAGTCATTTGAAGATGATTTCAAGGTTATTTGAAGTTTGACTGGTTGAGCCTGTGTTATTCAGTAGTTATTACCTGGGAATAACATACCTGTAAAAAAATCCTGGTTGCCTTACATTTTTTAAGCTGAGTCCATTAAACTTATATTATGTTAAAATGACTGAAAATTAAGTTAGAAACATGATTAGCTTAGTTTAAGTTGCAATGAACTAAACACATACAGTGCATCAAGAAAATTTTGTTGTTGTAAAACTTCACATTTTACACGTTTTATGTTACAGCCTTATTCCAAAACGGATAAAATTCATTTATTTCCTCAAAATTCTACACGCAATACCCTATTAGGACATTGTGAAAAAGATTTTTTTGAAGGTGTTGCAAATTTCTTAAAAAGTCATTGTCCTGCTGGAAGATAAACCATCTCCCCAGATTGAGGTCAACAGCACTCTGAAGCAGGTTTTCATTCAGGATGTCTCTGTACATTGCTGCATTCATCTTTCCCTCTGTCCTGACTAGTCTTCCAGTTCCTGCTACTGAAAAACATCCCCACAGCATAATGCTGCCACCACCATGCTTCACTGTTGGGATGGTATTAGCCTGGTGATGAGCGGTGCCTGTTTTTTTTTTTTTTTTTTTTACAAACGTAACGCCTGGCATTCACTCCAAATAGTTAGTTTAGTCTCATCAGACCAGAGAATTTAGTTTCTTGTGGTCTGAGAGTCCTTCAGATTACTTTTGACAAATTCCAGGTGGGGAGTGGCTTCCGTCTGGCCACTCTACCATACAGGCCTGATTGGTGGAGTGTTGCACAGATGGTTGTCTTCTGCAAGGTTCTCCTCTCTTTACAGAAAAATGCTGGAGCTCAGACAGAGTGACCATCTGTGAACATCGGGTTATTGATCACCTCCCTGACTAAGGCCCTTCTCCCCCGATTACTCAGCTTAGACGGAAAGCCACCTGTCAATCCTGGGACCTTATTTAGACAGGTGTATGGTTTTTAAATCATTTCCAATCAACTGAATTTACCACAGGTGAACTCCAATGAAGCTGATGAAACATTTCAAGAATGATCAGTGGAAACAGTATGTACCTGAGATCAATTTAGAGCTTCACAGCAAAGGCTGTGAATACGTATGTACATATGATTTTTCTTTTTTTTACATTGCCATTGAAGGCTATTGTGTGTAGAATTTTGAGGAAATAAATTAATTTAATCCATTTTGAAATAAGGCTGTAACATAAACAAATAAAAATGTGGAAAAAGGGAAGTGCTACTTTCCGGATGCACTGTATGCTGACAGAACTCATTGATCATATATTATTTTACACTGAAAATGACCAACTGACCAATTATTAACATGAACAATGAACTACTTTTATTACAGTATTTATTTTTTCATGTCAGTTAATAAACCAAAAAAATATTCATGTTAACGTTGCATTAACTATCGTTAACAAGAATAAATTTGGATTTTAATAATGTATTCGTAATTGCTGAACTATGATTACTAAATGCTGTACAAGCATTGTTCATACTTACGGCTCTATTTTGTCGGTCCATGCGCAAAACGGAAAGTGCAGGGCGCAAACACTTTCAGGGCGTGTCAGAATCCATATTTGCTAATTTAAAGACGGGAAAATCCGCTTTGCGCCATGGCGCATAGTCTAAAAGGGTTGAGTTTATTTTCTTAATGAGTTATAGGTGTGTTTTGAGAATAAACCAATCAGAGTCTCATCTCCCATTCCGTTTAAGAGCCAGCTGCGGTGCACCATAAGCGCATTTGCTATTTACAGGACGTAAAGTATGTGGAAGTGGAAAAACTAAGCATTTCACAAGCAAACAGTTAACAGTTTTTTTTTTGACAGAAAACAGTTAAACAGAGCATGTACCGCGCACCATCGCTCTTGGATAGGGAAACCTTTACGCACAGACATTATTTAGCCTATAAATAATTACTTTCGTTTGTTAAGCGCAAATATTTGTTTCAAAACTATTTCTAAATTCAGTTCTAATTTCCAAAAAAACCAAAAAATTAACAATAATAATGAAGTGTGTTCAAAAACCTGAGTTATATCCTAAAACACATGCTGCGCCCCATATGGTCTAAAACCTGCAGGTGGGCAAATCTAAGCTTGTTTTTAATAAAACAAATATACATATGGATATACTGTAATAAATAATACTGCTAATAATAATAACATTATACAAAAGCAAATTGTTATGAATGAAAGAGCCTCCTGAGATGAAGGCAAAAAAATCATATGTATTTGCGTATTGCTCTACATCTTGTGTGTTGGCTATTAAGCAGTGTGTATGCATGGCACAACTCTACCCTGGAGTTTAGACCTGGTTTGTTTTGGTCTAATGAAAAATCTATTTTAGTTTCTCAAAATAGCAACGCGCCAGCAGTGCGCCTCAGAACGCCTTCCTCTTTAGACTAGAATGCCTATGGGCACACATATGAGCGCAAATGCATTTGCTGTTTAAAGAGCGTGGCGCAATGCCTCAAAATGACTCTTGCGCCAAGCTGAAACTAGCAAACAAGTATTGCGCCGCACCTTGCGCCACATTGCGCCGGTTGTATGATAGGGCCTCAAGTTCATCTTAGTAAATACATTAACTAACATTAACATATTAAACCTTATTGTAAAGTGTGACCAAAATGTGTACAGAAATGTTACCCAAACTTTTTTTTAAATTATAATTAGTGTCCAAACGAAGCTATTTGTTAATATTTAGCCTTGTTAAAATGTGTTTAACAATTTTTTGCTTAGTGCTCTTTCACTCTACTATTTGTTTCATTCTACATTTTTCACTCTACTATTTGTTTATTTATTTTTTTCAGACACAAGCAGACACAAGCCAAAGAAAAAGTACATTATAACAACAAGCAAGACCTTTCCAAGCAACACATCGATGATGATAAGAATGTTGATGAAAATGATTATGATGATTACTCTACTGTCCAAGCATCCAGCTTTTGTCAGCAAATTACTAATGAACATCCCACACCTCCTACTCTTCTCTCTAGCACTGGACCCTCAGCTGTGTCAGCCCAGTCACAAGCAGATGTAAATGTTATATACAGTTTGGCACACGATGACCAACCAGGTCTCCTGAAACCCAGCGTTCCTCCTCGAACTGACCTGTCCATTTCTCCATACGCCTGCTTCTATGGGATCTGTAAGACTGCAACCAAAGCCGGCTGGCTGGACAAACTCTCCCCTCAAGGGTAAAGAATATGCAAAAAGCTCTGTTTCTTTATTTGCAATTTTTTTGCACTGATTTTAATATTATTCTTGACAATAGGCACAGGAATCTTTAGAAATTTCACAATTATTGTTACATACTGTATATCTTAACTTTATTTTAATGGTCCATTTGAGTATTAGTAGACAGTCTGCTTAATATCGGTTGATACTGCTTTGCAAGTACATGTCAACTTACACTAACCCTAACCCAAACATTACAGTCTACTTGTAATCAAATGAGAATTAGTTAGCATGTAGATCATAATAAAGTGTGACCAAATATATAAACACATTTAGACATGTTTTTGTGCAAAAGCGTCAACTTTTTTAACTTTGGTGAGTTTTTTTTTTTACATCTTTCAAAATGGTTTCATCTTTTAGCCTAGACAACGGTGATCACAACAATATAAGAGTTTACGTTCATACTTTCACATTTTTTTTAAGAATAAAAAAAATATTCATTATGATAAAAATACTTTTATACTGCAAAAATGTTTTCTTCTATGTTTCTCATTCAAATTTTGTGGAACTTTTTAAATAATTAGCATGAAGACATCTGCCACACTGTGGTGAAAACCTCTGAAGTATGCCATGGTTAACCTCGAGCAAATACCTTTAATCTCAGTGTTAGATTTTGCCCTACGTTTGTTTGTGCCCCGCGCTCCCCTACTTCTTTAAATTTCGAAAGTGGACCCAAAACTGAACATACTGTCATAGTTTACTCACCCTTTATTTATTCCAAGCATGCTTGACATTCTCTCTTTTGGGCAACACAAAAGAAAATATTTTGAAGAAAGCTGAAAACCTGTAACTATTGACTACCATAATTGTTTTTTCTACAATGGCTAAAGGTTTTCAGCCTTCTACAAGTTATTTATCTGTGTTTAATGCAGGAAAGAAACTCTAAAAAACGTGAACCGTTGAGGTTAAGTTCCATAAACACATTTTTATTTTTGGGTGAACTATCTCTTTAAGTTTGTACCTCTTTGTCAAAATTAAGAGAAGTATACGTACAAATGCCTACACTGTAGAACATGAAAGATTTAAGATAACTTATTAGTTTTTACAAATTTAAGTGGCTTTAGCATAAATTTATTTAGTTTTCCTCTAAAAATCTCAAGAGTTGTGTTTTTTCACCTCGTTTTAAAACAAACATTTTTTATCAGTTTGTACAAATAAAGGCCTGTATCTTTGAGATCTAATTTGAATACTGAGTCAATTCTGAACTTTTGAGAATCGATTCAGTATCACTAGAGAGATTGAATTGTGATGCTGATGCATCGATGAGTTTTTTTTTTTTTTCATCTCAACCCTACTTGACAATGTTGCCTGTCATGCAGAACACCACATTTCAAAGTATACATTTTGACATTTTGTGGATGAATTAAACTAAAGCACTGTATGCTGTCATTTTCTAAATGTTACTGTTTGCCATTTAGTTCATAATGACTCTATTACCATGCTAAGTGACTTATACACTATATTTTATGTCTTCTGAAGTCACTTTGCAACAGGAAGTTGTACTTTACCCTGCTATGGGCTTCCTTGAAGTGCACAGTCATCTACTGTTTTGAGCTGAAGTGTATTTCTGAATAAAATCCACTACAATGAACTTAGGAACTTAAGAACACTGCTGCCTCACAGCAAGAAGGTTGCTGGTTTGAGCTTCAGATCAGTTTGCTTTTCTGTGTGGAGTTTGCATATTCTCCCAGTGTTGGCGTGGGTTTCCTTCGAGGGCTTCGTTTTCCCCCACAGTGCAAAGACATGCGCTGTTTGTAGTGTTTGTGTGTGAATGAGAGTGTATGGATGTTTCCTGGTAATGGCTGGAAGGGCAGCCGCTGTGTAAAACATATGCTGGATAAATTAGTGGTTTATTCTGCTGTGGTGACTCCAGATTAATTAAGGGAGAAAAAATTTATGAATAAGCATTAATTTCTAAAGGCTTCATTTCCAAGAGCGGCAGTTCATTCCTTTTGGCCACATGACCCTACAGTCATCTAGACAATGGCTACTGCATGGTATTCAAAGAATCTGGTTATATTCTATTCTTGATATCTTGAAGAATGTTAAATCAATTAACACTTAATCAATCATTGTAATTGCAAAGAATGAAAATGTGAAAACTTTCATATTTTATTACACAATCTTTTAAAGATGAAGGCAGTTTCTGGTTTCTATTTCAGTTTTACTTTTTTTTTTCAGTTGACTTTTTTCAGCAACTTGAAGTAATCAATTATGGGCAGCTTGGTGCCTCAGTGGCTAGCACTGTCGCTTTACTGCAAGAATGTTGCTGGTTCGAGACCCGGCTGGGCCAGTTGGCATTTCTGTGTGGAGTTTGCTTGTTCTCCACGTGTTGGTGTGGGTTTCCTCTGGTTTTCCCCTCAGTCCAAGGACATGCGGTATAGATAAATTGAATCAACTAAATTGTAAATGGTGAATGCATGTAACCGGAAGCATTTGTGATCTCACTAACCCAGTTGTGTTTTTTGTAATCCTCAAACTTTGTTCGCTGTAGGCTTTGTTATGATAACTCTGTGAAAGCCAATGTCTCCCTTTGCATTGAACTTTGAACTTACATTTAAAGATGTTATTTATGTTTTCGCAACTACATTACAAATTGACTAAAGTTTAAACTATGATATTGTAGTGGACAATAGTGGTTCAATTTTAACTTATTATTGCTGAACTTTTTTCTAGTCAACAAAATGCTTCTTAATTTAAGAAAGTTTAGATATTTAGACTAGATACAAGATAAAAACATCAAGTAAGAAATTTTTTTTTTCGTTTTTGCAAAGGTTCAAAACTTCAAAATAGATGCTGCAGTCTACAGCATATTTCACACTTCACACTTCACACTAGCATTAGTTTTTAATGCACACTAAAGCCACTCATAAAACAACCTTCCTGTTTTAGTTTTTCTCTTCCTGTTTGCACTTGATGTTTATTTTAGTATCTGACATGCTGCAATTTATGCATCATTTTGGCCATTGCAACCACTCAATAGACTTGCCAAACATATTAATTTCATTCAAACTGATAAACCTTCAGTTCTTAATATCCAGTTCTCAGCATAAACACCCCTCACAAATCTATCTTTTAAATTCATAATTTTAATTGGAAGCTCTACAATATTATATTTGTGCATATACATTGGTTTAGTCAGTACTAAACCAAATCTGGAGCTTATCTAACAAAATAGCTTACGATAACAGTCCAAAAACTAGTACACCTAAATTTATATGTTATAGAAAAATATTAAATACAAATTTTAAAAAAAGAGTAAAAATCAAGAGAAGCAATTTTTTTTTGTAATCTTTCAAGTTTTTTTGCTTGACTTTAATTGTATTAAAATCTTACTTTCAGTTTCTAAATATTTTTGGTGACTAAAATGTTATATTAATCAATATATCCGTTTAAAAAATCTGTTTTGTATAAATGCGCTAAAATACATTGTCTACATTCACAGAGAAATTAAGAAAAATATTAATTTTTCAAAATGTAGCGTACTTAAATATGCTAAGCATTGTATATATTTTAATCTAGTACCATCATTAATGATGTGAAAAAACTCCATCACATTTTCTGTCAACTTGACTATTCATTTTTTAATTGTAGGAACTGCGTCTTTCAGAGGAGATGGGTGAAGCTCGAAGGAGGAAATCTCACCTACTACAACAGCGAGAAGGTTACACACCCATATTCTCATGCACTATAGCTTTGCCTTGTCATGTTCTTGTTTCATTTTGAGTTAGAAGAAGAAGACCAGCTTTAAAGCCTGGTATCAGTTTTAAACTCAGCGTGTGCAATCAGTTTAAAATATCTCAGAGTGTACAAAACTGCTGCAAATCCCTCTCTTAATTTCCACTTGCTGTGGGATAAAACTTAAATGTTCCTGCATGGCTGTTGACAGTCACTCACACTTTTAGCAGATCTAGTATTATCACAGTAGGCCAGAAACAGCGCTGGTTGCAGGGACAGGCTGATATCATCAGTGTGTAACAGCAGGGGTAGAGGATGCTCTAATAGAGACAGAGGAAGTGGGCTTTTGAAGCACCTGTGTGTGCCTTGCTCTTGTCTTCTCGTTACTGCAAAGTCATAATCATAAGAAAACATCAGTGGTGCGGTCTGTCTTAGCTTTACACATCAGTCTTATTTTAACCTCCATTCGTCATACCTTGTCATGTGCTATTTACAGACAAGCACGTATGCACACACACACACACACACACACACACACACACACACACACACACACACACACACACACAGGTTTGTTTTTGTGATTTTTGGGTATCTTCTACAGTGTGGGGAAAAGTATTGAACATGTTGTGTTTTTTTTTTTTTTTTTTTTCTGGAAAAAATATTTAAAAGGAGCCTGTTTAGTACTACACTAAGCAAAAAAAAAAAAGTTTTATATATATATATATATATATATATATATATATATATATATATATATATATATATATATATATATATATATATAATGTGCGTGTAGTAACACTGAAATGACTCAAGGAGAAAGTGCTAAACTACTGAGTGTCAAAAACGTGATGGTTCTGTGTGTCTCGGCTATTAAATTTGACCTTTATTTTGTTTTATATATTGGATGGCGATTGGTTGGGCCATTTTACAGCTTGATTTTCTTTCTCTAAAAGCATTTGAGAGATTAATATACAATGACGAAGGGCAGAGGGTTACTGAAGATATACTGAGAGATTTCAGCTGCAGTCTGGGCTTTCACTGCCTTTCTACACCTCTCTTTCTTTATGTGTTCAATACTTTTTTCCTCTGCCATTTCATTTTACTACACAACATTTGTAAACTAATCAATATTGTTTACTTTGCATAAATGGATTTCTTGGATTTTTACCAACATCTGGGGAAACTTTCAAGCCAACCAGAAAAATGGTGACTTGAATCATGATCTCTGCTTTGTGGATTTTTGATGTTAAAAATTCATCTCTGCAGTTTAACAAAGTGACAATTATTGACATTTTAGTAGTGTACTGGCAGTTTTTTGCAAGGTTTTTGGAGCGTAATATACAAGTACAATCCAGACAATATAGCACTTTAAACTAGGGCTGTGCAATTAATTGAAATTCCGTTTCAATTTTGATTTCAGCTTCTTATGATTATAAAAAATCATTAATTGAGATAAAACAATTATTGCATCAAATACCACCCCCTTTCCAGTTGTACACATTTGTTGCTCTGCACAGCACAGTTTCACTTGAAAATTACTAGAAGCAGGTATTGTAATGTCACTGTTGCAGCATCATTCATTCATAGACATTGGAATCATTCATGTTTTTAAATGTGCGAAAGAGATCACATGTTGTTGTGTGTATGCGCTTGGCCTCAGAGACAAGCAGAGCACACACATCTAAAGTCATCTCATTTTTAATAACTGCTTTATTTTATCTTTGCTATGATGACAGTACATAATGTTTCACTAGATTTTTAGATTTAAGATGCTAGTATTCAGCTTAAAGTGCATCATTTACAGACATAATTAGCTGTAGGTAATGATATTGCCCTTAAAATAGGATTCAAAATATTTTAAAGAATAAAAATATTATTGAAAATATAGTGAAAAATTCCTTGTTCTGTTAAACATCATTTGGGAAAAATTGCTAAAAAAATTCACAGGATGGCAAATAATTTTGACTTCAACTGTATATCGTTTTAAATAATCGTTATTACAATTATGACCATAATAACTGTAATTATGTGAGAAAGATCAAGGTCCCATAATGCAACTCACAACTGTAAAAGAAGTTTGCTTGTTTTTGCAATTGTTTTAGATCTTTTGATTCAGTCGCCTATGTAAGAAATGACTAGAAAAAATGAACCACAGAAAACGGTCAAACTACTTGCTCTACAAACAAGTGTTTGCATGACTATACAGACAAAATAGAATAATAATAAAATTATATAATAATAAAATTATAAAACAATAAAATATCAGTTTGCAACATCAAGTAGCAAAATAAACTGTTTTTAACGTCTAAAAGAGAATGCACGTGAATAAGACTGGAAGTCTCGAGCCAAAAAGTTTCAAAGGGCTGTGCCGCTTGTGCACAAAGAATAAGGTGAAAATGCATTTCAAAAATTACATAATAACTGTTCTTTTTTAAGGTTCCCATTTAATAAATTGTACGTTTTTTAACTGTTAGTATTAGTATTGTTCCTTTTTAAGATATCTATAAGCTAGCGTGCCTCAAAACAGTGGCACAATTCGTGTTTAGAAGATATAAACTTGATATAAGCATAAGGCTTGCAGTTTGTCTCTTCCATCTAAAAGGATCAATGGTTTTATTCACATCACCTCATACTACAGTTTCAAATGCTCTCTAGTATCTGACAAGCCCTGGTCCTGTCAAGACTCTTCTCATTTGCATTTCATTTGTTGCACTTGATCTAAACTACTCTCACTGGCAAAGTTATGATAAAACGAAACACTTCTGGCTGTTTTTTTTTTTTTTTTTTTGTCCCACAAAAAAAAAAAAAACACTTTGTCCCACTCTCTCTTCATGTTTCGGTTGAGATTACGACAAATGTTAAATAAATATGAATGCATATTTCATGGGACCTTTAAAGGGATAGTTCACCCCCAAAAAGAAATATACAAATATACTATATATATATATATATATATATATATATATATATATATATATATATATATATATATATATAATATAACACAAAAGAAGATATTTTCTTTGACTGTTTGTCAGAATTTTCAGTTTTGGGTGAACTATCCCTTTAGGCATGTTTTTGTTCCTTTGACTCAGCTTGACCAAAAGTCAAGGTCTTCTATGGAAAGTATGTTTTTTGTTGGATATACAGTGGGGAGAGAAAGTATATAGACAGTTTCTTCAATTGCAACCAGTCATTCTGTCCCTGAAGCTGAAAAACGCCACCGCTGAATTATGCTCACCTCTATGATTCACTGTTGGGACTGTATTGGACAGGTGATGAGCAGTGCCTGGTTTTCTCCACTCATGGCACTTTAGAATTAAGGCCAGAATTTCTATCTTGGTCTCATCAGAAAAAAAGATGGTGAGAAACTTATTTCTCACCATCTTATAGTCAATCAGAGGTTTGTTACCAAACTCCATGTAGGCTTTCATGTGTCGGGCCATTCTGCCTGAAAACCCTGATTGGTGGAGGGCAGTAGTGATGGTTGACTTTCTACAACTTTCTCCCATCTCCTGACTGCCTCTCAGGAGCTCAGCCACAGTGATCTTTGAGTTTTTTTTTTTACCTCTCTCACTAAGGCTCTTCTCCCCCGATAGCTCAGTCTGGCCGGACTGGCAGCTCTAGGAAGGCTTCTGGTCATCCCAAACGTCTTCTATTTAAAGATTACGAAGGCCACTGTGCTTTTAGGAACCTTACGTGCAGCAGAAAGTTTTTGTAAACTTAGCCAGCTCTTTGCCTTGCCACAATTCTGTCTCTGAGCACTTCAGGCAGTTCCTTTGACCCCATGATTGTCATGTGCTCCGACATGAATTGTGGGCTGTAAGGTTTTATGTAGACACATGTGTGGCTTTCCCAAACAAATCCAATCAGTAGATCAAACTCAAATGAAGGTCTAAACCAGTGGTTCCCAACCTGGGGTCCGTCCCCCCTGAGGGGGGTGCCAGAGTTCACAAGGGGGGCGCGGGAGAGGATAAGTGTTGAGGTAGAAAAAGGTTTAAAAATACTCCACTAATATATATGTATTTTTAAGTACCAAAAAACTAAAAATATAAAAACATATGCTTTAAATTCCAACATAATAGTAAAAAAAAATCTTTTTTTATAAATAATTAATAAATATAAATATAAATAATTATTTAAATTGCACTCACACGCGCAACGTGCTTGTCAACGTGTCATAAAGGCAAAATCAAAGCAAAAATGGCAGAGAAACGTAAACGTAGTGATTCTTCAGAGGCGAAAAAAAGATTAGACAGTATGACAAAACCTACCTAAATTTTGGGTTCATTGAACGCCAAGACACGTTTCGTCCAGAATGTGTCTTTTGTGGTGAAAAACTGGCAAACGACAGCATGAAACCAAGAAAAATGAAAAGACACGAGGAAACGAAGCATTCAGAGACAATAAGTAAAGATCAGGAATTCTTCGAAAAGAGCAGGTAGTGATTTACAAAAGGCTACTAAAGCTTCGTTTGACTGTTCGCTGTTGATTGCCAAGGCAAAAAAGCCGCATAATATTGGAGAGGAACTAATAAAACCCGCCTGCATTAAAATAGTGGAGGAAATGTGTGGTCCGCAAGCAGCTGAAAAAGTTAAAACTGTCCCTCTTTCTAACAACACTGTGAAAGACAGGATTGATAAAATGGCAGAAAACTGCAAAAATCAGTTGCACGAAAAACTTAGAGAAGTCCAGTTTGCTATTGACCTTATTCTAAAATGCGGAAGTGCGCCTGTTTTCGCGATTGTCTTAGAACTTCCGTTTCAGTCGCCTATGGGAGAAATGACAAGGAATAATAAACGGCAAAAAACGGTCAAACTACTTGCTCTACAAACAAATGTTTGCATGACTATACAGACCAAGTAGAATAATATAACAAGGAAATATCAGTTTGCAACATTAAACAGCGAAACGAGCAGTTTTTAATGTCTAAAAACGAATGGAAGTGAATGAGACCGGAAGTCTCGTGCCAAAAAGATT